TGAACTCTGACAATACCACTCTTGTAATCAACGAGAGTTGTATAACAGTAGGTACCCCCCAACCCACTGGAACCATTCATGAGGACTGTGCCTCGCCATACCTCAAGCAAGTTATTTCAGCTGCGAACAGATCATGGTGTTCTTGGGAAGAATTTCCAAATGATGCGTATTACTGAGAGAGATTGTAACTGCAAATGTAAACAGTTGAAAACAGTTGAACACGTTGTTAAGAAAAGTCCTCTGCATCCTGTGGTGCGTACTTTTTTAAGCAAAGTTTTTCTGAAGCTTGATCCAAGAGTCCTGCTTAGCACATGTATCATTTCATGGATAATTCGGTGCTATAGAATTCCTGAAACACTTTAAGCGCGCCAAAAATGCTATTTTACAGTCTCATGGAGACAAATGTTTTTGACTCAATGGTTTTTTTTGTATGTCTTTGTTAGTTATATCAATCATGTAACTATGTGATACTATAAGACAATAAACAGACATTCTATTTATTGAGACAGAGATCACTACTATGAACTAAATGATCTTTTTTGAATTTAATGTCTTTTTGTAAGTATATATATTTCTGCCCTTATTATTTTATTCATATGACCTATCTTATGAAAAAACAATAAAGAAGTTTTTTGTTCATTTATTTAACAAAAAAACCTGACGGTGACAGTACTTGTCAAGATAATTCTGTATGCGACTTTTGTTTTTGTAGACAAATTTAATTGATGTTTTGAACATTTATCATAAAAATGTATTATTTCTCATGCTCCAAGTCATATTTTGAAATAAATTCGTTGTGTTTCGAAAATGTCAGAAATAGCCATTTTTTGATTTTAAACTCCAAATGTAACCACATTTCTGTAACATGGTCAAAAATAACAGTATTTTCAAAAAAGGGTCAAAAATAGTAAAATTTTAGAAATAGATGTCCAAAAGTAACAACTTTTGTGTAAAGAATGGCCGGATCTAACAACGTTTGTATGATTCAATTGTCAAAACTGTCAACTTTTATACAGCAAATAATCAAAAGTAATCACTTTCGCAACTTTTAAGTTCAAAACTAGCAACCTTTTGAAGTTCACCTGACTTGTCATTCTCTTTTTGCCACTCAGCTCGTGATGTACAGCACATAGTGCTTTTCCGCTTCTGCAATGCTGTACGAGCTTTAAAGTCTCATAAATACGATTGTTTTTTTTTTTTAATTTCAGTGTTTTCTTCGTATTTTTTTGTTCTTGTTATTAATATTTAAATTATTTAAATATGTGATGTAAAAATAATAAACAGATTTTTTTATCTATCTGCATCTGAAGAGCTGAATTGGCCGAGAAGAGACACATTTATGTGAACTGTTGCGTGACTTAAAAGCCGAGGTATGCTAGTTTAAATCTACCATTTCACAGGCTTTTTTCATTTTAGAAAATTGAATGTTTTTTTGCATTGTTTCAAAATGTTTTTCACATTATTGCAAACAAAATAAATAAGTAAAACCTATTTAGCACCATAGTATTGAATATGGGTTACACATTATATAATTATCGAAATGGTTGTATAGTGTAGTGGTCATCACATCGGATTTTGATCTTTACCAAAACCTTCCGGGAACCCCGGTTCGATCCCGGGTACGACCTTTTTTTAAATTTTTTTATCATTATTTGTGATTTTTTTCCTAATTGTGGTTTCCTAAACTGTATACAAATAAAGTATTCAATAAAATCTGGACATGGCTCATAATTTTTTTTTTTTTTTTAAACGATACTAATAGTGCAATGTACATACCTGTAAATGTACACAACTATGACCCAAAAAAAAGAAAAGAAATATATGATTTTTTTTTTTAAAAAAGTAGCCTAAATGCCTGGTCTTCTAATAAAGAAACAAGACCAAAAAGGATAAACGATCTTTGATTAGTTTCACAATCAACAACTTGAAAATCTTGTACAATTTAAACGCAAATCTGATCAAAAACAAAAAAAAAGTTGGTGTAGGCTACAAGTTTAGATTGAATAACCCCTCCGGCACTTGTTTATAAAATATTAAAAATTGTGCTTTTTTTTTTTTGTTTTGACGAGTCAAGAGATTTTCAAAAAAAAGTTGACAACAAGCAAACCAGCCTTCATTCTTGTTTTTTTGGGTGATTTTAATGACAGACAAGGATTTTAACAGATTTAATGATGTATGTTTTTTGTGTTTTCTTGTTAAATTAAAAAAAAAAAAAAAAAAAAAATTAGCACAGCCTTTAACTCCTCTCTCACCCCCCTTTTTTTTCAATTCTTTTGACTAGAGCCAATGCTATTTGGTCTTACGCGTTTCAGGAGTCAAAGACTCATTCTAACATTCTTCATGATCATCAGCATCATTTACAAAGCACTGCCTCTGTTCTAGCCCTCAATTCTTCAAAGTTTGGAGATTATCCCCCATCCAAGTCTTTATCTACTACTTTTTTTCATTGTATTTGAAAAAAAGAAATACATATATATATATATTTTTTCATCTGAGTCCGCTTATCTGCAGGAAATAAGTTGTTTGTTCATAAAAAAAAAAAAAAGACACGGTCACCCTGTTGATTTTTTTTTGTTTGTTTGACTATGAATTTGTTCAACCTATCAAATCACAAAAGATAGCGCACCAAAAAAAAAACCCCTTAATCGTCAAATTTTTTTTTTTAATTTATTACTACTCTACATTAGATAAATAGAATATTGGGGTACTTTATTAAGAAATCTGGTTATTATATATCAGAAAGTATCAAATACATTGTTTTCATAAAAAATGATAACAAATGATATGAATAATAATTATAATAATAAAAGAGAACAAAACTTGGAATGATATATTATGTCATTACCAAGGGCAATTCTCGAGATTTTTTTTTTTTTTTTGGCGATTGTCTACGCATGCATCACCAAAGTAAAAAAAAAAAAAAAAAAAGAAGAATGCTTTAAAACTCATGTTAAGCTGCGCAAAAAAATATATTTTATCAAGGTGGGTTTCAAAAGACGGGCGACATTGACCTGTCGCTATTGTGAGCTGATTCCTTTTTTTTTTTTTGATTATCAGCGTAGCCACATTAATTTTGTAAAGTTGGAGATACACGCGGTGCACAATATTCTAGATTTATAGCACTACATCTGCTTTAGTTGTAGTTTTTTTTGTAATTTTTTATCGTTTCAAGCATTTCGGGGAATGGATGTCGCTAGTTCTGAACACATTTGGCATGTAAAAATGGAATTTTCTTTCTGTAGAAACTTCAAGGCGATCCAGTCTTTTTTTTTTGTCTGTCTACATATTTTCATAAGTTTTTTTTTTTTTTAAAAAAAAAATTTTAGTGTAGAAACCCATAAAGTATATTAAAAAAAAAAAAAAACGTAAGCTACACACAATGTTTTCATTTCAAGTCGGTTAAGCAAGGATATGCCTTTTTTCTTCTAAGAAAACAATTTAATATCGACATGTATGGTAAGCTGATTGCTGAAATATCTAAATCACAAGTATTCATGTATACACATGTGCTTGTTTGATTTTCCAATCTTCTAGTTATGCAACGGTAGCCGAATTTTCGCATTTATCAGAAATGAGAACCGGCAGGGACTGACGCGCATGATAAACCTCATTATACATCACAGAACTACTTGTTCACTTATGTGGTCTTAAATAATTACTTCAATGAGCTTTGGTTTTTTTTTTGTTGTTTTTTCAAAATTTTTTATAGTTTATATATCTGGCTTTCTGAATAAGTTCCAATGAGGGCATTTAGATTATAAAAAAAGTTTTCACAAGATCGATAAATGGACCAGCCTAAAGCAAAAAATACGATTTAGTTCTATACAAAACATACTAAAAAAAATAAATAATTTATCTACACAAAAAAAAAAAAAGCTTTCAAAGAACTTGACATTTTTTTTTTTACAAACTAATAACTAACAAGTTTGTAGATTTAGTTGTAAAGAACAAACTTAGCACGGCCCTTGGTGACAGCAACAGTGCAGCCATCAGAACCATTACCATTGTAGGCACCGTTCTCGTACTTGCACTCACCGTTGACAACGGCACCATCGTCAGCAACAATCTTGACGTTAAAATTGGCGGCGTTACGGTTGTTGGGGTTGGGAATAAGAGAAAGGTAAGAGATACCGTCAACGGCACCAGCACCAAAGTTCAAAGGAGCCCAGTTACCGACACCAGAACCGGAATCACCCCAAACACAGCCGTCAGCTTGGGAAACACCGGCGTTGTTGACGTAGTACTGAGCAGAGGTAGCCTTGTTTCTCCAAGTGTAGTAGGTAGACTGGTCAACACAGGTGAGAGCAGCAGTTTCACCGGGGCCAACAATGGTGGGAATAACCATGTTCTCAGTACCAGGGTAGTCAGTTCTGCAGATGGCAACAGACTGAGAAAGCTCAGAAGTAACAACGGCAGAGTCAACACCCCAGACACAGAGATCCTTAAAGGCAGAGTTAGAGCGGTAGAGCTTTCCACCTTTGCAGAGAAGACCACCGACAGAAACACCGTTATCAGGCTGGCTGGAGGGCCATTGAGTCTTGGACATACCAGGCTGGCAAGAGTAGGAGCAGTAAGCACCCTCAGTACAAGAGCCACCAGTGGAAGTATCAGAGTGGTAAATACCAGACCAGCCGCCAAAACCAAGGTAGTCAAGAGAAATAACACCGGGCTGGCTAGAAGGGAAGGTGCTGCAGTCAATAGTGCCATCTTCGAAATTGCCAGAGATAGTAGAGTAAGCAGCGACAGCGTTTTGAAGACCCGCTTTAGCGCCAATGGCGCCTCCAGAAATATCGCCAGAGTTAACAGGAGTAGAAGCCTGCTGAGAAGACTGAGGGGCCTGGGAAGACACAGCGCTGGAAACGACAACAGCGAGAGAAGTCGAGGAAGGAGCGGCAGAAGAAAAGGCCGAAGAAGTCTCAGCAACGGAGGTGGTGGTAGGCTGAGCGGCGGCGGAAGAAGAAGGAGTAGAAGCCTCAGAGGGAACAGCAGCAGCGACATCTTCTTGAACATTAGTAGCTGCAGCCTGAACAGGGTTTCCGTTGGCGTCAACAGTGACAGTCAAGTACACGTATTCGTAGGCGACGGCACGCTTATGAGCGTGGTGAGCATGCTTGATTTCAGCATGAGGAGCAGCTGCAACCAGTGCAGAGCATCCCAAAGAAAGGGCGGTCAAAAGAGCGTATTTCATGTTAATGAATAGACTAGAAAAAAAAAAGTTAGAACGAGTGGACTGTGGTCGATATTAATGAGAGAAAGAGAGAGTAAAAGAGTTGGGGAAGGAGAGAGTTTGTGAGTGAGAAAATAAATAATAAAAAAAAAGGAGGTTTTTGCCATGTTTCTGCAAAGGAACCTAGGCACATATTACACGGCAAGTACAAAAGGTCATTTTTGGGGAAGGGAGTCCAGGAGGCGTCCACGTGACCAAGGCAGTAGTTGTTATGGAAACGATTCCTTTTTGAGAGTAACAAGAATGTGATGGAATAGTTGATGTAATATGACAAGAAAAAGGGTTGCAAATTCCACTGAAACTGCGCCTTGAATATAGTAAAAAAATAAAATAAAAAACTTACCAATAGAACGAGATTTAAAAAGAAAAAAGGAATGGACCAGTTGATAAACAACAAAAAAAAAAAGGAATTTAAAAACAAAATAAAAAAAAAATAAAAATAAAAACAGAAATAGACTGTAATGTGCGTTTATGTAAAGGAGTGACAGAGTTGGAGATACTTGAAAAAAAAAAAAAAAAAAAAGAGAAAAAAACAAGAAATCTCAAGGGAATTTCATTTATATTTATAAAAAAAGGTCAACAAAACAGTTGTCTGAATTAGGTAATTTAACTATTTCTCATTTTGTAAGGCATATTTCTTGTTTAAGCTTTAGACATACAGTGCGTCTTACATTCCTATTTAGTTTTACTTGTTGAAGAAAAAAGAAATGTTGTAACAGTTTATACCTATATAGTGATTTTTCTTAAAAAAAAACAAAAAACTTACATTAGAACGCTGCATACACAGACAGCAAAGTAAATTACAATTATATAATTAATGAGATAAGCTTGCATGCATTATGCATTGCAGCACGTGTAAGTCAGTTCATACTGATTTTAAAGTATCCAAAAGCGAACAACGGTCGAGGAATCAATGTGTCAAATATGAGATTATTTCACAAAGATAAAAAGATTACTGAAGCAAAAAAAAAATTTTTTTTTCAAATCCATTTTATCACGATACTAATAATTACTATGATAGAAAATTAATCTTTGTCTAATTATATATATAGATATATACTTTTTGACCAGGCTAGTCAGCTGGTTTTTTATTTCTGTTATCTATAGACGAACCCATTGCAAAAATGCTTTATATAGGCGGCAGTGGTGTTCATGGCCACATGTAAACTTTATCATCTACCAGTGCGAACTAGCTAGAGCTCAAAAAAAAAAAAATGTTAACGCTTAGATCTTTATGGAAAAACACCAATTAGAAATAGTTTTAAATCTTTTATCATAATGGTTTTTTATAAAAAAAAATCACTTTTTTTTTTTTTATTTGACTCACATCAAGTTTTAAACCTGTACCTGTCACTGTTGAAAACAAAAAACATCTAGTTTTACTGAATAATTTTTTTTTCT